CATTCAACAAACCCTGACTGACGAGGACTTGCTCTATAAGGCTCTGGGCCAGGCATTGAGGATCCTATGGTCAGCAAGGTGTATGAGATCATGCTCTCAGAACTTACATTCTAGTGGCATAAAGAGAGAAGTAGCAAAAAAAAAATAAAAAATAAAAAAATAAGCACGGGCAGAGATGAATTTTAGGAGTGAAATAAAAGGCAGAGGATGCTACAGGGATAGTGGCTGCTTGGGCTCAGGGGTCAGGGAAACCCTTTCTGAGGGGTTTCTTTTCTGCAAACCCTTCTGAGGGGTAGAAGGGGGGCTATGCAAAGAGCATTGGACTTGGAGGACAGCCTCAGATCTGCTTACCCAGCTAGAGGAAGTCATTTGATGAGCTTTTTTTGTATGTAAAATAGGAATGAAAACATATGTTCAACTTCAAATGGACATATACAAGTCTCAAAGGAGAGAATTTTTAAACTGGGCAGCCCTTTATAATGAAAGGCGGGCTAGTATTTTATCCAGCGGCATGACCTTCTCAGCCAACTAAAGGACTTTTTATGTAGCAACAGGAGTACAGACAGTATGGTGCCACATAAAGAAGGGTAATGAAACAGAATAGACCAGAAAACCCCCTACACATGTGGTCAGTTGATTTCCAATAGTGTATTTTTTGTTGTTGTTCTTTATTTTTAATCCTCACCCAAGGATATTTTCTCCATTGATTCTTAGAGAGAGTAGAGGTAGGAAGGATGGAGAGAGGAAGAGGGAAAGGGAGAGAAACATTATTTTTCCAAATTCTCAAATCTTCAGCATTTGGGAACAAGAGATTGAAATTCCCAAATTATCCATTATTCTGTATATTTAATAGCACTTTATTATATCTTTTTAAATAATAATGAGTTAGCATAAAACAGTGACTCACTCTTCTGTGATAGGGTTATATTAAAAATTTGAGAGGTAGTTTGGTAAAGTAAGATAAGTGCATGGTTATTATGAACCAATGTACTATGAAAAATTACATATTTCAATAAATAATGTCTACCTGAAATAGATATTTAGAACATGAAAAGATTAAGATAGCACCAAAGGAATGCCAAATAAATATCATTTAAACATTAAAAGATGTCACATATACTTAATATTTAAAAGTTATTCTCAAATGAGATGTTTAAACACATACCTAGCTGGTTTGGCTCAGTGAATAGAGTATCAGCCCTCAGACTGAAGAGTCCCAGGTTTGATTCTGATCACAGGCACTTACCTTGGTTACAGGCTTTAGCCCCTGCCCTGGTAGGGGTTTGTGGGGAAGGCAACCCAATTGATGTGTCTCTCTCACATCAATGTTTCTGCATCTCCCCCTCCTTAACATTCTCTCTCAAAATCAATGGGAAAAAATATCCTCAGGTGAGGATTAACAACAACAAACCCCATAATATTTCTGGTCAGAACAGAAGTACTCTGTGATTAGTTGGTGAAGATATTTATGCAGCTCTGATCAGATGAGGAAAGCCTCAATCCTATTGGTTGAAATAGGATTCTAGGAACTCCTTTATAAGGGCTCGTTCAGATGACAGAAACACAGTGTGGGCAGGCAGTTTAGTACAGGCTTCTCCAGAAGTATGGGGTGTGTGAGAGGCCCCAGCATAGAAATATTATAGCTGCTAGGCTCTGTTGTTTTAAAATTTGAGCCCAGTGAGCCACCAGGATCCATTTTTAGACAGTATCTTTCTCAGGGTCCCACTTTTTGTTTATTATAAAAACTAGAGGCCTGATGCATGAAGATTTGTGCAAGAATGGGCCTTCCTTCCCCTGGCTGCTGGCACTGCCTTCCCTCCCAGTGAAGCCGCCTTTCTGCCTTCCCATGCTGCCCAGAGGCCTGGAGTGGCTGGGGCGATGTGGACTGCCTGTGTCCTGCCCCGCCCCTGGCCACTGGGTGCCTGTTTATGCAAATTAGCCCAACGTCTTTGTTGGGTTAATTTGCATACTCACTCCTGATTGGCTGATGGGTATCACAGAGGTACGGTCAGTTTGAATGTTACTCTTTTATTAGTGTAAATGATAGGTGACTTGAGACAGACAAACTGAATATTATGGGGAGCATTTAAAGAAAGGAACACTGGGCAGAGAAATGGGGAACATTCTCAAGGCCAGTGGTGTTTAATCAGGAATAGATGGATAGTAGCAGCACTGAAGTGGGGAATATAGGCTCTATTGGGACTGATAAGCTCTCTAAAGAGAGGGTGGATATATGGGAAAGTGCATATATTGGAAGTCATTAAGGTCAATGTATATTGTATTTGCAACTCGACTGCCTAGTGGAAGATAAGGCTCGAAGAGCAGATTGGGACCCAGATGACAGTGACTCCTGGATAGTATGCCAAGCAGTTTAAATTTAGGTTTGTAGTGGAGAGCCATAGAAGTTTTTGAGCTGGGAACATCTTGATCAAATTTCTGCTTTGGAAGAAGTTTGGCAGCTTTGGAAGACATGGCTTTGAAGGGGAAGAGAGACTGGAAAGAGGAGAAGAGGGAGAGACAGGCTAATTAGAGTCCTGTTTTGAGTCTGGGTAAGATAGGGAGTGCCCACAGTGGCAGTGGGTGAGGGAAGAGCTGGACTGGTGGTAGGTAGAAATAAATTGAGTAAGACTGGAGGCTGCTTGGGGGAGGCACTTATTAAGTTGATGAAAAGTAGTTAATGAGTTTAATGAGGGGATGAGTTTCTCTGAAGAAGAAGGGCTCAGGCACTGAAGACTGAAAAGGGACAGGTGCTGACTCCGAGCGTGTGAGCCAAGTTGGTGGATAAACATCTAGTATCAAATGAGACATTTTGTTAATGGTCAAGGTTTCCTCTTTCTTGTATTAATAGGTTGACGATACTAGTATATTTATTAGTCATGTATAAACACACACTTTAGCCCTAGATTGTGTCATAGCAGGTATCAGAAGATATTCAATGAAATTTACTTTTTTTGTTACATATCATGCTTCTCAGAAAAAAAAATTTTAACTTTTAATTTGAAAATAATTTCAAACTTTAAAAAAGTCACACAAATACTGTTATCAAACTCAAGTGGTTTGCCACTTGGGGTGTTCTATTCAAGACAGAGGTGGTTGTTGCAAAGTAACTTTATTTATTTGCATCAAGTAAGAGGATTCATATTCAAAGCTCTGTCTCTTTGAAGAGAGGCTTGGCCATTGTTTATAAATATTGTTAAGTCTGTTACACATTGATTTCTTCTTTGTACTTGGCTACACTTATCTGGTTGCGTTCCAGTCAAGCTCATCCAGTTTACAGCTGATCTGCAAAATACTGTGCTATATTTTAAGACTTAGCAAGAATACTAACATTTAGAACTGTCTAGACCTTGAGACCCTTGTTGTATCTAACAAAAACTCAAACTCTGTCCAGATTCATCTGTTGTTAACATATTGCTCTATTTCTTTTTTTTGCTTTGTGTACACATGCTCTCTCTTCCTCCCTTTACCCTTCCTCTCTCTGTCTCTATACAGCAGGTCCTCATCATTTCATTCAGTGTTGTTTCACTATAATGTTGATTAGTTGCCATTGGAACTTAATGTCTGTTTATATCAATTAGCCTATGGTAGAATTGGTTTTATTATACGGTTTGCTTCAGAGTCACGGAACCTATTGATGCCATTAAGTGAGGGCTTCTGGCTTACTGTACACAGACTCTGTATTACATTCTCTCTCTCTCTCCTCTCTTCAACTCCCCAACAACCCCCTCCCCACTACCACCAACAATACTACTTTTTTCCTGAACCATGTGAGAGGAAGTTAGATATATAGTGGTCCTTAATACCCAAATACTCTAAATAAGGCTATTTTCTGACAAACTATAGTACAGTTACCAACCTCGGTTATTCAACATTGATCTAATATTTAACCTACTGTTCATATCTGTTTTTTTATTTGATCCCATATTTATAGCTTTTTCTCCTCCAGTATAATATTCAGTCTATAATCCAATCTAAGCACCAGTCTATATATGTTCCATCTAACTTTACTGTCTCTTTAGTCTTTTTTATGACTTTTTTAAAGAACACACCCTGCCCTGGACACTTTTTTTCCCCAACAAAATATTTTTTATTTGGATTTGTGTGCTGTTTCTTTATGATTATATTCAGATTATACAGCCCTGATCAAAATACTATATAATTGGGTAACCAAAGGTTTTTCAGGTGTAACATTGTGAAGTATTTACTTCCTAAGGAAGACTTAAGTAGGAGAATGTTCTAAGCAGAATGGCTTGATTTTATATACTTTTCAAAACTTGGGGGCTATAATTAAAATTTTTTAAAAATCTATTTACAGACTCATTTAGAAGAGATAGGACTCACACTGGCCATGTGGTCTCTGATTTTTATCAAGTTATATTTCAGGAAACATTTTCTTAAGGAAAAATTGGGACATATAATTCGATGTAATTCAACATGTCAGATCCTATGAAGCTTTAAAAGTGAAGCCAGATTTAATTATAAATTTGGCACCTTTTAGGAATAGGAGAGAATTATAGGAAGGTGAGGTATGCCCTGTAAGTGTATTCAAATGCATGTGCAGTGTGATAACTGACTCATGATTGCTTCTGTTCTGCTGTGTATCCATTAGGTAGTTGTGAAGGGAACAATGCTGGCTTCTGATTTAATGTAATCAAGACTATTATTTTATAGTAGTTCTACTAAAACAGACACCAGGGTTTTCTTTTTTTTTTTTTTTAATTGTTCTTTAAGCAATTAGAACAGCTTAGGGGTGTGTGTGTGTGTGTGTGTGTGTGTGTGTGTGTGTGTGTCCAAGCGTGATGTAGAACTTGTTTCTGAATAAACTTGTCATGGGTAAACCTTTAGTTGATAAGGTCTTAATTTATACATAGGCAGCAGCTGCCCAGGTTGTTGATTGCTAGTTAAGTGTTCATAGGATTAAGAGTATTAAAATATTTTCCTAGGCTAGTCTTCCTGTTATTCTTAACATATTTCATGTTGTTCCACTGTCTGCCTTTCAGTCCTACAGCTACCAGCACAGGAAGAAAGAGAAAGCTGAGCCTCAGTCAAGCAGAAGCTGGCTCGGAGGTGAGAGAGACTTCTGACCTTGAATTTGAGCAGACAGATTCCTGTGCTGAACCCCCCACCGAGGGAAGGAAAAAGACCAAGAAATTTAAAAAAATGAAGAAGGACCTTTCTCCAGCAGGTTTGTATTGGCTCTTTCTGAAGTTCTGGAGCTGTGTGCTCTTCGGTGTGCAGGAAACTTGTGTTCTGTGGGAGAGGCTATGGTTCATGCAAGGGACCAGATGTTTTTAGGACCAATTTAATTTAGTTTGAGGAATCCTTTAAAAGCCCTGGCTCTTTAAAAAAAAAAAAAAAAAAGAAAGAAAGAAAAGAAAAAGCCCTGGCTCTTGTTAGAGAAGGTAAAAGATGGTTATCCCATTTTGGTATCTTCTCTCTCCTCCATGGGTTAGAGGTTTTGCTGATGTGCTTAAAGTAGCCTCCATATTTTAAATGTACATTTAACTTCGCACAGAGGCCTACTCCTACACATATTATTTTTGGTAGCAGAGTTTTTTTCACTGTTCCCACAAAAACCCAGGCAACCTGAATTTCTCTCTAAAGCAGAATTATATAAGGAGCAAAGGAAATAGGAAATTAGCACATGGTGAGAGCTTACTATGTGCTAGATGCTGTAGTAGGAGTTTTTTTCCTTTCTGTATTTAATTTCATCCTCACAATAGCCCAGACATAGGGAAGTGCCGTCAGAAACATATGCAGGTCCCTGTAGCTGCTAGTGAGAAGCAGACCCAGAGGGTGAGCCCCAGCCCACCTGAAGCTGAAGCACACATCCTCTCTGTCACTCAGACATGCTGTGGGCGATCCATGACCTAGCTCAGCCCTTCCTGCGCAGACCCTATAGAGGGCTATAGTGTGGGAGGAAGGGGCTTGCTTGTCAGATCTGGCCATAACCCGATGAGGCAACAGTCACAATGACAATGAGTATAGTTGCTGCTGACTGAGAGTGTTTGCCAAGGATCCAGCACGACACCTAATGCTTAACAGAAATTCTTCCATGTAAATATCTGAGGTAGTCATCCTGGGCCAGTTTACAGTTAAGAAAACAGAGGCCTAACGGATTACTGACTTGCCCAGGGTTATGGAGCAATTAATTCTGTCCTATAAGGAAGCTGGCGTTTGTGAGCACATTATGTACTGTCTGTTGCGGGGAGAAGGCCCAGCTAGCTAGATGCCATTATTTCCTGTTCCTTGTCTCTTTACATCATGACAGTCGCCCTGGTCAGCAGGCCCAACAACCAAACTGAAGGAAGGTAGGAAAGCAATGGGACATGATTCACACCCAAGCTGGGAACTCGTGTTTCAGTTCATTCCTTTGCATGTGGGCCAAACTAACTGTAGGAAGTTTTCTGCACCTCAGTATTTTTTTTAATATATATTTTATTGATTTTTTTACAGAGAGAAAGGGAGAGAGATAGAGAGCCAGAAACGTCGATGAGAGAGAAACATCGACCAGTTGCCTCTTGCACACCCCCTACCTGGGATGTGCCCACAACCAAGGTACATGCCTTTGACCGGAATCGAACCCGGGACCTTTCAGTCCGCAGACTGACGCTCTATCCACTGAGCCAAACCGGTGTCGGCTGCACCTCAGTATTAATGAAATGAAAGAAGTGGCAAAATGTCGCATAAGCTTTTTTATAATATGCTGATGCCTAACTTAACTGAAAACTTGAAACTCTGATTGGAAGCCTGGAGTGCATATTTGAGCTGTCTCCTTGAATCGGGGTGTCTCCCTTTACTTGCCTCCCCTGCTTTCCTTAAAATAAGTTCTTGAGAAGTTCTTAATCTGTAACATATTTAGTCTTCATCTGTGATACCTTGTTACTGCCGCTGACCTATACCTGCTCAGCACACGTTAAATATTAAATGTTAGCCCGACTTTTAGTGGTCACTCTGAGCATGATGGAGGGGCAGAAAGGGAAGGCTCCCTCTTGTATTCCTTTCCTCCATATCTTGTTCTCTCTTGAAGTTTTCAGCTTCGCTGTTACTTTTCAGGGACAAAATTTCAGGGTTTTTTCCTATCTCAGCATAATCTTAAAGGTATTAAAATCAAAATACCTAGTAATAGACTACATTAATAGATTAGCTCCTTTTTTTAGCTTTCATCGTTTAAATGAAAGCTTTATATGAATTATTTGGGGTTTTGAATTTATATCATCATCATTTAAATAGTTTTTCCCCCCCCTCTCCCATTGACAGTAAAACTGTAACTGCCAAAAGATATGAGAAGAAAAAAAAAAAGATAGATTTTGTACTTCATTGTCAGTCATGGAGAGAAACATCCTGACAACTTTGAATTGAACCACAGAACCTGAGAGAATTTAGCTTTCTACCACTCACCAAATTAGACCTAGCAGTGGCAGGGTAGAAATGTAATGGATTCTTTTCCGTTGGTTTGTTGTAGCGTTTTGTCCTGATATTAGCAGCTGCAGGTCAAGTGTTTAGGTGTGGAATTAACCAACTTTGATTGCTTGGTGACTTTAATAAGTTTCTGCAGTAGTGAGAGGATCAGGTTCAGGCCCTGGGAAGGGTTTGTCTTCAGCTCTCAAGTGCCAGAGCTGTGAAGCCTGGTTGGGTGTTGGCTGGAACTGAGCTGCAGTGTTTGCAGTGTGGGACAATCTGTCTCAGAGACAGGTTAAAGCATCAAGTCTGAGCTGTGCTACTGTGGAGAGAGTATCTTGGCAGGTACTCAGGGGACTCCCAGAGGGGTGTTGGGCACCCAGCACCCTCAGTGAGGGCATGAAAACAGAAAACATTGCGTCATTTGTAGGGAAATTTCTCTTTTCCAAGAAGGACGTAGCAAGAAGTAAGACCATGGAATGTCGTGTTCTGTGGCAATCCTGGGACAAAAGATGCTCAATAAACCCCACACAAAACAGTGCCGTTTTCCTTAGTTATACATAGTGATATCTAAAGTACATGAGGAGGTAGGTATTAGAACCCTTTCTTAACAAAATGACCCATTTAAGTTTAAATAACATACCAGACATTGTACTGGGAACGTCCTTTGTTAACTTGTTTAGCCCTTAGAAAAACCCTATCAAGTACATACTCAATGTCTACAGGAAACCAAGGCTCAAAGTGTTATCAACTGGTCACTCAAATATGCGGGGTTGGGGGGGAGGCTGTTTGATCCAGAGCTCACACATTGCACCAGAGGAAGCAAAAGGTTCTTTGTGTACAAACATGAGGATTTCTGGCAGTTGTTCTGGATCAGAAATAGTTACCAACCTGGACTTTCAAGTGAAGTCTGATAAAATCCCTTGGAGCTTCTACTTTGTGCCCATAGTATGTACTTAGTAAATATTTTTCTCTTAGGCTTTGCTGTTTCTATCCTACTTTTAGGAAGCAAATATATAATATAAGCTCCCTTTTATATTTATTTATGATTAGTGTAGATGGATAGTGCCATCTACTTTTTCTCTGCAGAATTCAAGGTACATAAAGGAAAACAATTCTGTGTGCCATTTATGCTGGAATAAACTGTCTTTGGGAAATGGTCCCAGGCAGCGTTTAATGGATGGGCTTCCGTAGCACACTTGTTCGGGATGACTAAGTGAAGAGTGTCCCTAGGGCCTGGAGAAACCCCAGCCTGCCTATAGGCCGGCAGTAGTCGCCTGACACTGAGCAGCCTGGCTACTCTGAATACTGATGGGCAGTCCAGGGCCGAAGGTTCCCTGAGCACCCTGCTAGGCAGTGGTCACGGAGGAATGCCGGAGACATGGACCGTTTGTATTGACTGTTCTGTCATGATAGAGACGTTGCCACAAGTCTCTCTTCCCCCTTGCATTTAAAGCAGCACATTAGACCTTTGATTTTTTGCCAAGAACTGTGAGTTTCACTGGAGTCTTGACTAGTCTGCTGAACTTTTCAAGCTCAAAGCCATAGGGTCAGAATATAAAAAATTAGAATCTTCATAGAGCAGCAATCTCCTTATACAATGACAGGCCTCCTTAGAGTCAGAAATGAGATCTGCAGTTGCTGCTGTTGGTCAGCTGAGTAACCAGGCTGAGAAAGTTCAAAGACCCACCCAGGACTTTTTAATTACTCCAAGTGTGGTCTCCAGCCGGAGTGTGGGAAGCGAGATGTGTGCTGCTCTGGGCTGTGGGGCAGTTTGCTCAGTGCATTTTTGTGCCTTCCCCGTTCCTCCTGGCAACTCTCTGGGACCCCCACGAACCATCCAGGGGGAGCTTCGTCTGCTGGGAAACCACCCTTTAGAGCATTTCCTAAGGAGTTAGTAACTTTTTATGGCACCCCAAAGAATCTTCCCAAATACAGCATTCTGCTCTATAGAAAATGATACCTTGGCATATTTCCAGTGTACCATGTAGCTTTTAGATTCTCTTTTGGATTCACCTAAGGTCAGAGATGTCTTACCTCTCGGAGTTCCTTCCTCTCCACTCTAGTTAGTTGAAAGATAAATAAGCAGAAACAGTCACCAATTGTGTGGACCCCTTTTTAATCTCTTTTGTTGTTTTGGTTAATAAAAATGTGCTCATTATGAAAATCTGTAAAGCGAAGAAAATTAGAAAGTTACTTGAGAGTCTGTTAATGTGTTTTACTCCACCTCTCATTTTTTAAAAAAAACATTTTTTTAATTAATTTCAGCCAGGAAAGAAGAGGGAGAGAGAAGTAGAAATATCAATGATGAGAGAGAGAATCATTGATCAGCTGCCTCCTGCATGCTGGGGATCCAGCCCACAACCCAGGCAAGTGCCCTGACTAGGAATCGTACTGTGACCTCCTGGTTCATAGGTCAATGCTCAACACTGAGCACCTCTGGTTGGGCTCCACCTGTCATTTTTATACATCATTGGCATCATACTTTATGAAAGTTAATATCCTGTTTTTCTCCATAAAAAACAACAACAGCTGAAACCAGTTTGGCTCAGTGGATAGAGCATTGGTCTGGGGACTGAAAGGTCCTGGGTTCAGTTCCGGCCAAGGGCATGTACCTTGGTTGCGGGCACGTCCCCAGTAGGGGGTGTGCAAGAGGCAGCTGATTGATGATTCTCTTTCATTGATGTTTCTAACTCTCTATCTCTCTCTCTCTTCCTCTTGTAAAAAATCAATAAAATATATATTTTTAAAAACAAACAAAAAAATAACAACCCTTAGCCAAATAATATTTTTATCAGCATAATATTTTATATTTTTGTTGTCTTTTTAAAACAATATTCCTAATATATTTTACAGGACAGCCTTTTAAAATATGAATTATGTACAGTAGAAGTAATCACTTTTAGATGTACAATTTGATTAGTTTTGACAAATGTGAACATTCATTTAACAATCACTACGATTGAGATATAGACCAGGTCTATCATGCCCCTTTGTAGTCATCCCTGCCTGCATGCCTAGATCCTGATAACCACTGATATGCTTTCTATCGCTGTAATTTTGCCTTTTTCAGAATATCTTAGAAATGGAACCAGACAATAGTTAACCTCAGAGTCTTTCATTTAGTATAATGCATTTGAAATTCATTCATGTTGTTGTATGTATTCATGGTTTACTCCTTATTGCTGAATAGTATTCTGCTTTATGTACATATTGCTGTTTATTTACCCACTAATGGCCTGGTGCATGGACTTGTGTGCATTGAAGGAAATCAATTAGAAGGAATATTTTAATATTGCTATTTGCCCTTTCTTTGTAAGAGGTGTCAGAGATGAAGTGTCAGATACGTAATGCCAATAGTTGGTCTTCAGACATACTTTGTCAACGACACCACTTTCTTTCAGCTTCAGAATGTCAACAAAACAACCAAATTGACAATCGACAATAACAAATCGAAACACACTTATGTGATTGGCACCAGTGAGAGCTTTATATGTAATGCGCATGCGCAAGTCAGCATTTATCTTCAAATTACCAGTGTGAATCATATGTACCGGCCAGTTGGTCTGTTGGACAGATGGGTGGTCAGGTGCTGCTATAAGCATGACAGTGCAATTGCTTTTAGTCATTTACCTAGCCCCCGCCTTGGCTAGTTTTAATTCATTTCCTCACATTGGGCATTGTGGCCTTTACCTGTATAGTGGCTAATTGGCTGCCATTTATTTGATGCGAATTATAAAAATGCCCTTATTAATATTTATTTTCCTGCCTCCCAATAGGTACTATTGGAACATATGAGTGAGAAGGTCAGGCCAGTTATGTTTATCCTGGGCCAATACAGCACTTAGTTATTCCAAGGACAGTGGTTCTGGGTTTATTTTGTTTGTTTGTTTGTTTTTAATATTTTTTAGCAGAATCATATGAATTTTTTTCACGTGAGTCATCTCCAGCCATTTTCTCTCCTCAGGAGAGGTCTTGCAGTCTTCATTGCGAGTCCCAAGACTTGCATGTCCAACACAGCGGTGCAAACATCAAAGTTTCCCCTCCTGGTCTGCTCCCCTGTCTCTCTCTGGATTTTCTCTCAATAAGTGATCAGAAGTGGGATTTCTCATTTTAGCTGAAATGCCCGTGTTATTTCAGGTGTTCAGATCTCGTTCCTTTTAGGTATTCCTGTCATTAACAGTAGCCAGTCTCAGCTGAGTGATTTTCTATATACTTTGTGGGTCACCGAACCCCATATCTTCTTAAGAGTTACTCTCCGTTTCAGGCATCATCAGAGACCTCTTTTGAAATCTTGGAATGTTAGCAGCTGGGGTTGGCTCTGCCCATTTTCCCTGCCAACCCTGCAGTTATGGCTTAAATAAGGCATGACACCAGCGGTGCAGGGAGAGCCTGGCCCGCTACACTTTCCATTGTGAACACGCCTTTTCCTAACTTAGTTCCCGTTCGCTCTGCTCCGGACATCGGCGCTCCAGGCCCTGACACATCTGTGTAGTTTCTGTTGCAGAAAGTGGCGTGGATGGAAAAGAAGGGCTTCTCACTTTGAGTTGAAGCTGTTTGTAATGGAAAAGGTTCCGTCAGTCCAAGAAGACCTTAGCCGGAGCTGCTGAGGTCGGAAAAAGCTACAAGCTTCTTTGCCCTTTTTGGGATCTCAGAACCCGCACTGGTCAGCTTCCCTCCACGCTGATCTCAGTGCCCGTAGCCCACAGATCACAGAAACCCAGCCTTCTGGGACTCGGCGGGGCTCTTGGTGCTGTAGACAGATGCAGACTCTATCTCAGCCACTCAGCCTCGCTGAGCCTCTTCCTGCATCTGTGAAATGGGGATGTTTGTACCATCGTTTGGGGCTTATCTGAAAGGTAAACGAACAGTGCTCAGCATGGTGGCTAGCAAAAAATATGGTGTGTGTGCCACTGGGAAATATAAGTGTCCACATGGTAACTCCTGTAAAATGACGGAGGCAGCTGAGTGGGGAGGGAGGCACCTCATGTCCTACCTGGGCTGTGCCTGTGGTGTCCTGCGTGTACTGGACACAGCTCTCCCTGGACAAGACCTGTCAGGACTTTTCCCACGTGGCCGTGCAGCCGCCCTGCCCTGTGATGGCGGCTCTGTTCTCCGGGGACTGCCCTCTCCTTGCTCATCTTGTTTTGTCCTTTCCACCAGGAAGCATCTCAGACAGCTCTGCCAAGCTCTTTGAAGTTCCCGACACGTGGTAGCCGAGGCCTGAGCAGGACAAGCCGCGGGTGCCGTGCTGGGAAAGAACCAGCGGACGTTGGAAGCCATACCCTGTTCAATGAGTGCGGTGTGTGTGTGTGTGTGTGTGGGGGGGGGGGGGTGTTTGAAAATGGCGTCACCTGGAAAAAGCTCAGCTCTTGTTTTCGTGGCTGTGCATTTTCCCTTCCTTTCGGTTGTAAACTGTCTGCTGACACTCAGCACGGTTGTAGGCTGTAGGGTGTACATTATTGACCAGTTATTTGTTGCTCCTGTGAAGCCTTCCCCATGAAATTCATTAGCGTGTGTGAGACTCTACCTGACGGGGGTGTCCGGTGTGAAATACGCAGAAAGAGCTGACACTCTTGGGGGCTGTGATGATGAGTTTGGGGTTGAACCCCTTCCTGCTTCGAAGGGTTTCCTTGTCTCCCCATGCTCGGCTTCCGCGGCAGTCCCAGCACATGGTTACCGGCTCCGAGTGGGGAAATCGGTTATGTCTGTCTGCTTCTCACCTTAGCTGTCTGAAAACATGAAGCTTTCAAGCTTATCTTTCCAGTAGAAGAATCTCTACCGACAAAGGAGCTGACCATATGCCTTGGCCTCGGGCATATTTACTTAGAGTTATTTTTCCCTAAGATGTGAGTTTCTTGCGCTGGGACAAGTAAAAAGGTTAATTTCTGTTTTTACATGTAGTGCTCTGTTCACTCGTCAGTGTGGTTGTCTCCTCCGTGTGTGGGTGGCTGTCCCGGGCGAAGGTGACATGTGCGCACACCTGTGCGTGCCTGTGTGAAATCATGACAAAGCTGCGTGTACCCGCCCTTCCTCTGTCGAAGCAGATCACAGCGGAGACGGAATTTCGTGGATTTCCTTCCATAGAGCTGCTTCCTAGAGATCATTGTTAGATATATAACATTTTTGTATCACAGAAATAAAAATGAAAAATGTATTTCCAAAAGGTAAAAATTAAAGACATTTTCATAGGACTCTGTTTTTTTCCTTCCTTTTAAAAAAATAATGAATGACATATTCAGTCTCTCTAAAGTTCAGCATCATTTCTCTCTAAAGTTCAGCCCTGAAAAGCTGAGGTAAGTCACCGGAGCTTCTTTTTTCTCTCTAACCCTGAACCAGCCTCGTGAGTGAGAGCCTGTGCTGGAGCTGCGCCCTCTGGTAAAGGTGGCGTGGAGGCTGCGTCTTCCCACAGTGGGAGAGTCTGAGTCCTCACAACTGGCCGGAACTGCAAATGTGTTCTGAGAATTCAGATTTGTAAGACACTTCCCCAATTGAGAGCCTCTTAAGGTTCCCCATTCTAGTTCTTTCCCTTCCGCAGGAGTCTGATAGCCACAAAGTTACAAACCCAAACTGGCCGCCTCCTAAGCTGTCAGTGCTCCCAGCTCAGTGGGGAAGTGAGATGGGAGAGTGGGAAACAGGAAAGGAAGGGACCAAGGCAGGAGCTTAAAGAGCGCAGCTGGGCTCTGCTGTCATTAAAGCTTACAGGGAAAACGGCTAGTACCCGACACTGCTGCTTAATAGTGAATAAGCGGGAAAACCACCTAAGATGGTCATTGACATACCTGTGAGGAGTACAGATGGCCTAAGGAGGGCGCCTTGCCAGGGCTCGCAGATCGAGGGGTGGTCTAACCAGCCCCGGGTCTTCAGTGGGGGAGAGATTGGCCTCTGGCCTAAGGTAAAGAAATTCCTCATTGTCCCCTGATGCCCAGAGCTTCCTGTCCAAGCGCTTTGCACCCACGCAGGTTGTACTCCTGTCAGAGAGGGGCTTGGTGAGGAGTGCTTTCTAGAAAAGACTTCCATTTCAGCTCCAGCTCTGTGGTTTTGGACACATCATTTATCCTCTTTGAGCCTCAGTTTTCCTCAGTCATAAAATTAGGATAATAAACCTGCTTTACAGGGTGGCTGTGAGAATGTGGATTATGTAAAATGCCCAATATACACAGTGCCCAATAAATTGTACTATTATTTGAAGATTATGCTTTTGATCTGGAACTAGTAGATGTGCTTCTGCAACTAGAGCCCACATAGGCATGGTTGACGGAATTTGGCGAGTGAAGCTCAGACATGCCCTGGCCTCTATTTTCCCATCAGTAGCAAACGACTTAAACAGGTGAACTAGGTTGGCCCTTTCCCCCTTCTATACAGACCACCTAGGCTTTCTCAATGTCTCTTTCTAGCTTTGGCTTTTTGATAACGGGCATACTGTTATGATGGGGCTGTGGCTCTCAGGTTTCTGGAAGACTGGCCAGATGGGGCAGGCCTGGCAGGGGGCGCCTCTGCCCATAGTTTTGTAGTTCTTTGATTTCGGAGTTGTGTGTGTGATTTCGTCTGTTTTTATAGCTTCGTATTTTTCTATCCCGCCCGCCCCTCCCCCCAACATTTGATTATGAACATTTTCAAACATACAGAGAAGTTGAAAGAATTTACTCAGTGAACATGCATTTACTTACCGCCTAGATTGTACAGTTTCCATTTTGCTGTTTGTGTTTTATTATATAACCACTGGTGACCCAGTGCAAGGATTCTTCACATTGAAAGGAAATTAATTAGAATGTGGCCGGCAGGGTGGGATGAGGCCAGACGTGCCAGATATACCCTGGAGCCAACCTCCCGAGGCCCCTCCCCAGCCGGCCACACCTGGGGTGGCATCGTGGCTCGAAGGGCATCTGCAGAGTGGGAGGGTCCCGCTGTCTGGCCTGCAGGGATCGGACTGAACCCCGCAGTCCGACATTCCCTGATGGGTCCCGGAGTGTGAGGGGGCACTCTGCAAAGTTGCTGTCGTACACGGTGTGAAATACAAATGCAAGTGTACACTAAACCATATTTGGGGTCAACAGTGCCTCAGCAACAACATAAGCCACGACCAAAGGTGGAATCGCGTGGCCCTGTGAGGTATTTGGCTCCCTCCTATCTGGTTTAGGGATGCATCACCTGAGAACCGCTGCTGCCAAGTCACTGTAACTCAGCAGCTCCTACTTTGAGTGTCTGCTCCCTGGTGGTCAGGGCACACCATAGTGACCAGTCAAATGGACACTTAGCATATTAGCCTTTTATATATATAGATTTGTCTGTCTTCCATTCATCCATGAATTCATCATTTTTAAGTTGCAAACATTAGTACAGTCCTTCACCCAAATACTCCAGCGTGCTTGTCATTAGTCAGAATTTAGTATTTGTATATATTTGGGATCCTTTGGCGATGTATGGGTGTATCAAGTCATTACGTTGTCCACCTTAAACTTACACAGTGTTCTATGTCAGGTGTAACTTAGTACAGGAAAAAGTTTATCCCTAGGTCGTGGGGATAAACTTTATAGTGAAAATGCCCAAATCTTAAGTGTACTATTAGCCTTAAAACTTAAACAAAAGTTGTCAAGCAGCAAATGAGTTTATTCAACAGTAGCAGAGGAATTTCAATTCTGGACAAGCAGATTATGAGAAACACAGGCCAGAGTGGAGAACAAAAGAGAAGAATCCTCTTTTGTAAAGGAAAGGAGGAATTTGGGAGGGGTTGTTCTGAACAAAGGAGGAAAATGAGAGATGGAAGTGGTGATGAGTTCTCATTGGTTGCAGGCAAGACCAGCTGCTGTGTGTGGCGGAGAGGACATTTTCCTTCTGCTGAAGTACAAAAGCTGCAATGAGGGATAGTGGGGGAGAGTCCCACAGCTTTCCAGCTCTATTTCCTTTTATTAAATCTTCACCTGAAGATACTGATTTTAGAGAGAGAGCAAGTGGGGAGGGGAGGGAGAATAACATCTCTTGGTTGCTGATTGAACGTGCAAGCTAGGCATGTGCCCTGACCGGGAATCAAACCGGTGACCTTTTGGTGTATGGGATGACACTCCAACCAACTGAGCCACACTGGCCAGAGCTCTGACTCCATTTTGAATGAGGCTTCCTTTATTCACTCTCATGTGTCAGGATGCAGAACATTACCATCACCCAGAATACTCCCAAATGCTCTTCCCAGCCAGTCCCTTCCTCACATCCACGCCCAGAGGCACCACCAGTCTGAATATTTTTTTAAAATAGATTTTTATTGATTTCAGAGAGGGAAAGGGATAGAAATCCCAATGATGAGACTCATTCATCGACTGCCTCCTGCATGCCCCACATTGGGGATCAAACCTGCATCCTAGGCATGTGCCCTGATTGGGAATTGAACTGTGACCCCCTTTGTTCATAGATCGGCCCTCAATCACTGAGCCATACTGGCCAGGCGATACATGTTTAGTTTTATAAGAAACTTCCAGATCTTTTCCCAAAATGGTCAATCATTTTATCCTCTCATCAGCAATGTATGAGAGTTCCTGTAGCTCTCGTCCTTGGCAACGTTTGGTGTGGTCTGACCATCCCAGTGGGTATATAGTATATCTTATTGCAGCTTTCCTTTGCAATTCCCTAATAACTAATGATAAGATACTTATTGGCCATTTGTATATACTCCTCTGTAAAGTATCTGTTCAGTTTGCCTGTCTATATTTTATTGGGTTGTTTGTGTGTCTGTTATTAAGTTGTAGGTGTTCATTATATATTTTGAAAATGTTTAGTCCCAGTCTATGGTTGGCTTTTTTCTTTTCTTTCTCTCTCTTTTTTTTTTCCTGTACTAAGTTACACCTGACATAGAACACTGTGTAAGTTTAAGGTGGACAACGTGATGACTTGATACACCCATACATCGCCAAAGGATCCCTACCATAGCCCTAGCCCACACCACCATCACATCACACATCACCATTTCTTTTTTGTGATGAGAATATTCATGATCCACTCTTCCTAGCAACTTATTTATTTTCTTAACAGTATCTTCTACTGGGCAGAAGTGTTTAATTCCAATGAAGTCTATGCTGACAGTTTTTTCCTGTGTCCTTTCTAAGAAACCATATTATAAAGATGCTCTTTCATGATTCTAAAAGCTTCATAGTTCTAGCGTCTGTGCTGACGTCTATGGTCCATCTTGAGTTAATTTGTGTGTGTGTGTGTGTGTGTGTGTGTG